ATCCCTACACCCTACAAGTTTTGGTCAATCTGCCCGAATAAACTTTATGACTCAGACGTGAAATGGCACACACTATGAGTTAGAAATAGTACTTTTCATTCCATGTCCACCTTCCATGAAGCAATTTAGCTCAGTCTTCCCAGGAAGTGTCTACATACCTGTCCTCAATTTTTGCATTGTCTAACCATTCTTCCAAGCACAGCACCTCCTTACCTTCCAAGTTTCCTATGACAACAGCACTTTTCAAAACCATATGTGACACTGCCACTGAAACACCTACTCTAGGCCATCAGAAGCCCTTCAGAGTGCATCAAGACAGTTGCCCTCAGAGGAAAAAACATATTCATGATCCACACGGTGTATTTGCGATGGTGTTACTTCTAAAGTGACCATCAATGGTCTTAATAAAATTTCAAAGGACAGAGGCAGCTCGCTCCTCAGCAAACCCATTTCCTCTTCTGCTGCAGAACGATCTTGGGCTACCAGTGTCTCACGTGACGAGGCAAGGCACAGAGCTGGGCCACATTTCCCAGCCTCCAAGGTAGGTGGGCTGAACTGTACTTAATGAAATAGTAATAGAAGTGACCCATTCCACTCCCAGGCCTGGCCTATCAAAATCTCCCATATGAAGTTCTCCATGATCTTTCTGCTTCCATCTGCTCAATGCTGGCAAGCACAGTGACCCTAGCAACTGCCTGTTAAATAAAGTGGAATCACTTTAGACAGGAGGAGACCAGTCACCAAATCACCAGGTTTCATATAAACATGGCCAGTTTGGGCTTTATACAAGTGGAAAATAGTGTTCCATCATGTTTGAGTCACGGTGCGTATTTGGGTTTATGTGTACAATGTTCCGTCATGTTGGAGTCACGGTGCGTATTTGGGTTTATGTGTATAATGTTCCGTCACGTTGGAGTCACGGTGCGTATTTGGGTTTATGTGTACAATGTTCCGTCACGTTGGAGTCACGGTGCATATTTGGGTTTACGTGTACAATGTTCCGTCACGTTGGAGTCACGGTGCGTATTTGGGTTTATATGTATAATGTTCCGTCACGTTGGAGTCACGGTGCGTATTTGGGTTTATGTGTACAATGTTCCATCATGCTGGAGTCATGGTGCATATTTGGGTTTATGTGTATAATGTTCCATCACTTTGGAGTCATGGTGCGTATTTGGGTTTATGTGTTACAGCAAGTGGCACTACCTTAACTATACAGTGTTCAGTATCTGGCCACTGTGAAGTTATAATCTCAGGAACAAGTACTAAATCTGTATTCGATTTCTTTCCCTCTCTTTTTAAAATTTAACCCCTTTTCATGAAGGAACCTCAATAAGCACTCATAATATGTGTTGATTGAGAGAATTTCAGGCTAATATGCCTTCCCCATCTGTTCTCAGCCAGTCACTCATGGCTCTCTAGCTTTTTTGTGTGAACTCTAATGATTTTGCAAGGAACCTACTAGATAGCAACTCTCTTTTTGCAGAAAAACTTTGAGGAAATTTTTCATTTCATGTTTAGGCACACAGTTTTCAAATTGGGACACTGTTTTTTCATAGAGAAAATTCTGTATTTCAGTGCCTTTTCATGACATATTCAGAAATTGCTCAGGTACCATTTTCAGCTTATGTGCCTGGTCCAGAAGGGATCAGGCCTTAACACAGGCTTGTGTATTCCTGTGTCTTGTTGTCATAGGCATTTAATGTTTCATACCTTTCCAGGGTTGTTCGTTAAAACTTCTGTCTTCCTTTTAAGGGAAGTAATCTCTCCTCTGTGAAGGAGTTATCTGTTTTTCTTCCACCATATAGAGTACATGAGAGACTAAACAGTCAACTCTTAGCTGATACAAATCAATAAATACCAATTCTACAAAGTTTCAGGCAAAAAGGATTTTGTGAAGAGTCAAGTAAAAGAAAAAATAAGGACTGTTGTGCCTAGGAGGGCTATCAAAACACTGGTGTTTATCAGCTATGTGCCAACATTTCCCTCTACAGAGAGATTTACCTCTGGCACGTACTATCATGAGTAGTGACTGACACTTAAGTCACTTCTCTGCCTGATGGGCTTGGCATTAGCACTACTGAGCCCCACTGCTGGCAGTCTGAAAGCTGGTTGTTCTCCCCTAATCTTGCATAAGAGGACATCTGTCACTTGCCCAGATACCTCACCTACAGAACCATCTTGAGCTACCAGCCTCTCATGTGGTGAAGCAATGCGAAGAAAGCGCTTTCCTGGCCCACGGCTCGCACAGGCATCAGGGACTGCTCCAGTCTCTGGGGTCACAGAGTGCTCTCCTGGTGTCATGTCCTAACTGAGAGGGAGGGGAGGGGACTTCCAGGCAGCCTTCCTCAACAATTCAGTCTACGCTGACCACTGCCAGCTTGACCTCCCAAACACGGTGTAGGTATCAACTCATTTTAGCAGCTGAGTATTGATCCAGTGCAGGACTTAGAGACAAGGTGGGTGTGGTAGAAGTGGTTGGCCCTGGTGAAGCAGTATTTTATCACTGTGGTACATGATGATAATAAAAAGCAAATCAACTGAGGTAATTTCATTATTGCTTTCAAATCCTCTGCAGACAATGCACTCCGATTGCCTCTCTCTCCCCCACACCATATGGCACTGTTCTAGGCTATCTCAAATTGTTATTAAGTATCATGGATATGCCCTTTCTACCTAAATAGATAAACCCCTCAAAGATGAGTCTATTTTGCAGAAACTTCTGTGCCCCTTTAAGCACCTATTACAGAGTAAGTGCTCAAAAACTAGCTCTTCAGCTGCATACCACCCAAATACAATAGCATGCCACCTTCAACTTCCTTCACGTCCTGTGTCGGGTGGATACGTTAAGAGTAAGTCTTGTAGAATCTCTTTTACTTCCTGGAACAAATTTTCCTCGAGAACACAGAAGTGAATACAAAAAAAGACACGGTACAGAAAAAGAGCATGAATCAGCCATGGGGCTCTAGGGTCCTAAGGGCCACCAAGTTATGGAGACCTCTAAGGGCTAATCAAGGGTGAGTGGAAGGTGATGGCAGTTCTGTCATCAAACTGTATCCAGACTTGGCATCTGGAGAGGTAACAGGTGACAGGAGTCAGAGACGTGAATTCTCAACCTGCCACAGCCCTGACATTGCCAAGTGACTTGAGTCACTGTATTTCCTATTTCCCTGCTTGTTAATTAGGCACAGTATGATCTTTCTCTACAAGGAGGGTAATATCCTCATCATCTCTGTTCTCTAGTCATGGAAATAAAGCACAGAGAGGGAAATATTTTGCCTAAGGCCACACACTACTAGGTGTGGAGCTGGGTTTTGAAACCAATTTTGTTTGACCTCTGAACTCATCCTTTGCCCAGTAATGCTCTGACCTTTAATCTGTAGGGCCTTGCATGTTTGCTCAGCCTAATGGCTTAGCCTCAGTCATGACAGAAGATAGTGTTTCAGGATCCAAAATCTCCACCACAGAGAGACACAGACCTGGAGTCTATATCCCATCAGTGGGAATTGGAACAGGGTGTTCTACACACCTGCATCTCATTTTTCTCACATATAAACTAGGAATACTTTCTACCTTACAAGAGTTGTTAGGATTCAACAGGATTGTGCGTAAAATATGCCTAATAGTACTTGACACGCTGATTGTGTGTAATTTTTCATTTCCTTCTCCCCTTTGAGATACTCTTTGGGCTCCTCCATGCCAGGTATGGTGGAAAGAACCCAAAAGAAAAAGATACCACACTTGGAGGTTCCTAACAGGGCAGATAAAACACACGCAGAACCAGAACACAAGGAAGACAGTAGTACCCATGCATCATTTTGCCATTGCGTATGTAAAAAATGTACTTACCCGTCATAGAAATTTTAGGTGAAAAAGTAACATATGCATTGAAAAAACGATGTCTTCACACTTTCCACTATGCTAAATTAATTCAAATTAGTATGATCAGCGCTTTGGTATCCATGATTTGCCACCTTGCTGCACAAGAACAGGTTTATTATGAATACTGTGGCATCCTTAGCCAACCCTCCAAATTGTTATTTTAACTAACATGTCATTAAGAAATTAGCACAGGTCTGGTATAAGATAATAGAAGTCTTTTAGTAAATAAATTTCAAAGAGAAAAATCCACATCTTTAGAAAGAAAACTCTCCCTTCCAATTAAGTCATCACACAGAATCTGCCTGGCATCCCCCAATCTAACTGGTAGAGCAATAGTTCAGGTGTGGGCATACACTCAGACTGCTGTATGAAGTCCCAAGTGGATACTTACTAGTAAAATCCTTTAAACATCCTATCGATGGTAGCAGAAAACACATTTCCTATCTGGAAATGCTTGCTAAGGTTAATTCAACCCTCTTAGAACTCTTTTGCATATTGAGGGAATCAAATCAAAATTAAATGACCATCACCATGTGCTTTAAAAATATTCAGCACGTGTTTAAAACAGTTATTTCTTGATATCTGGACATCATTGGAGACAGTAGGATGACTTTTTCCACAGTTAGAAAAACAAGAATGAAAGGAGAAGCCTCTGGATGCTACCCTTGCAGAGACCTAAATATTAAACCAAATAGATTGTTTTTCCTATTGCATAGACTTTTTTTGTTTTGTTTTATTCTGAGACAGAACCTCCCTCTGTTACCCAAGCTGGAGTGCAGTGGCACAATTCCACTTACTGCAACTTCTAACTCCCAGGTTCAAGTGATTCTCATGCCTCCACCACCGAAGTAGCCGGGATTACAGGCATGTGCCACCATGCCTAGCTAATTTTTTTGTATTTTCAGTACAGATAGGGTTTCACTATGTTCAGGCTGCTTTTGAACTCCTGTCCTCAAGTGATCTGCCCACCTCAGGCTCCCAAAGCGCTGGGATTACAGGCGTGAGCCAGCACGCCTGGCTCTGCATAGACATTTATTCGTTATTCACAACTAACCTAATGGAAAAAAGCAGCCAGCAAGACATTGCTACCTGCAATGTGTCCCTTGGAAGATCTCTTGGCAACACGGCTGTTTACATCTCACAAATGCAAGGGTGGAGTCAGAAGGAGGTTATTTCATGCAACAGCCTTCCTTTGCTTCATAGCCAAAACACAAGAGCCTGAAGCCTGCAGGAAGGAGGATGGTCAGGGGATCACTGGGGAGCACAGCCCACTGAGAGTGCTGCAGGAAAGGGGTCTGGAAACAAAGCATGCAAACACACAGAGCAAGTCACTCATTCATCAGGTCAAAGACGCAAGGAAAATACGAGACTCGGAGAAGTGCTCACCTGTACTCGTGGGACGAATATTACCCAACGGCACAAGCATGGCCACCCTGCATCCCGAAAGGCAGCTCCATTCCCGCCACTGTGCTCAGTGCCTAAGGTACACTCCTTGCTTCATCCTCACAGCACTTAAGGGTGGTTGGTTACCTTTAGGCCCAACTCACAGATGGGCTTGGAGATGTTTAGAAATTTGGCTTTGGCTCATGGCCTCCAATTTGTAGCCTCTAGATTCAAACCAAATCCACCACATTCTTAATGACTATACAGTGGAGGAAGAGGAGGAAACAACTATTTTAAAATGACAAATTTTGAAATAAAGTTAACTATAATCCTTAGAGAAAGAGCTAAATCCCAGAGTTCAATTAGGCCTCTTTGAAAAGTCATGGCATGCTTGCTCTGTGGTTCTGCTGAGTTTTATCCAGCTCAGCTTATATTCCCTTAGAGTCTGTGTAACTCTCTCTACCTTCTCAATCCAAAGGTCAGTACTAATTTTAGATTTCAGTCCCAGAAAAGAAAAAAAAAAAACAAGCGTCTAAGAAAGAAACTAGGGGGACAAAAAGGCATGAAACCATGATTCAAATGTACCGCAGAGATAGATACTAAGTTCTGTCTCGTGTGTTTTGGTTGTGATACTAGGGGTATTACGCGGCGAGGTGAGGAAGTAGTCTCGAAAGGAGGGTGTGCTTTGACAAGGTAGAAATATTGATGGGATGTAAATCTTTGAAAATCCATAGTATCAGCTCCCGGTTCACACATCTACAGACCCGGGTCCAGGCTGCGGTACTGTTACATACACGCTGTGAGACGCTTGCATGCATACAGACTGCGCGACCGTAGCATACAGGCTGTGGGACCCCCACACACTGTGTGACCATGGACCTTTATCTTTACCACACCCTTCCTTCACAACTATATGAGTGGGAATATTAGCCTCTAGCCGAGAGGCAGGCATGAGGCTCTAGGAGACCACACCGAGCCTCTGTCGTGGGAGAAAACAGAAGGCAGGGTAGCTGGGGAACGCCAGCGAGCGCGGTCATTTCAACACTCTTTCCTCCTGCCTAGGGATTGGCCACGTGACTCGGGCTTCGGCCAATCCTAGGACCTCACTCCTCTGCTGGTTGGTACAGGGAAGGGCATGTGACCATGTGACTTCACATCAGCCAATCATAGAACCTCACTCCTCTGCCCACAATCACATGCCCACAGCCATTGGTACAAGGAAAGGCAAGTGACTGAAACGGAGCCAGTGAGGATTCCTCCCAGGATTTTTTTTTCCAGCTGGAACTGGTGAAAAGCTCCTCTTTCCTCTGTGCTCAGGAGCTATCTGTAGTCATGGTCCCAGAGAGGACAACCACAATCAGCAGATAGAAGCAGAGATGAGAGGCCAGGAGGGAGAGAAGAAAGCTTTTAAGTCCTCAGTCTTTGGTTCCAGCCAACTTCAGGGCCAGAGTCACCTCTGCCATGCTTGAAAGTCAGCAGTGTCAGCCAAGAGCGCTCCCCTTGTTTCAGAGTTATTTTGCTTTGGGTTTCTGCTCTTGTAAGCAAAAGATAATGCAGTAGTTAACAGTTCCTATAATCTGAACAGTGACCAGTGACCAAATCCTCAGTAAGAAGAACTTCTTGGGTGGATTTCTTATTTAAAAACTGAAGAAATACATTTTAGTAGAGGAAGCAAACACTGCCTTTATTTACGTAGCACTTTCCCGAAAGAAAGCAACACCCATCTTCATTTCCAGTCACCTTATTCATTTCCGAGTGGGCTTAACTCTTTCCCCTACCCACAACCACTTTTAAGATTTGGCCCATAAAAACTTAGGATAAAAACAAGTGGGTATTTTTTTTATAGCTATATTTGCTGGCACTACATGGAGGGTAAAAGTTGGGGTGGGGATAAGAGATGGCACTGATGCTATTTTTGGTAGGCTAGCAAGAGAAATTACCCCGTTACCAGAGTTCTCACTAGGGGTTGGGGGAGGGGCATGGTTTACAAAAACAAAGTGCGTTTACCAAGATTTGCAGCCACTGCAGGAAATCCTTTCTGAATTGATAAGATTTTTTTTCTTTTATATTAAAAATCTCCTCCATATTATCTTTCTTCAAAGTAAATAAGAAAAATGGAAAGGCACAATGGATGTGAATTCCAATCCTCAAATGATCTTCTGAAGCAAAGGATAATGTCTGAGGTCAAACTGTAGCAAAAGCCTGGGTGTTCCTGATCTAATCTTGAACCAGGGTGTCTACCCAAACCTTTGGAGGAATCCTAGGACATGTTTGTCAAAACATAGTTGAATTCCATATGGAGGATTGCTTGGGCTTAGCGGCCATCCTCAAGCACAGAAAGAATCCCAGAAGAAATGCTGCCTTCCCAGGGCTGGGCTTACATCCAGACCCAGAAATCTAACAGCAGAATAAAGACTCACTGACTGTGGAAACAGACTTGGCCTGTTGGATGGAAGGTGGAAATAAAATCTAACTAATCTTTCAGTATTCTTAAATTGGGAACTTAGAGACAAGAGCTAACCTAAAGATGTAACTTACTGCATTTGACTCCATTCTGTACTTAAGGGTATTTTTTTAAAAACCCAACATTGGTTTTCAGATTAGGTATGCAATCTACTCATGAGGAAAGATGGTTTGAAAAGAGGAGATGGGCACCTTTATGTGTGGTGACAAAGAAGATTCAAGTACATGGGAACTAATTTATTTAAAATTTTTATAAATGCTCTAAGTGGGAATACAAACTAAATCTTCACGTTGGCCCATGATGATCTTTCTGAATACTAATGATGAATAATTTTATAGATTTAAAAAAGTGAGAGACAAGAAATTTAAGGTATATTTATGAAAAAGTTTTACCTAGACAACATTCATGAGAAAACCACATCCACAGGAAAGTGAGCCAAGAATTTATGGGTTTTTAAAATAAGACACTTTGAGATCATTTATTTCAACAGACCCATTATACAGACAAGGAAACTGAGTTCTAGATGGTCACCTACACACTCTATTGGTGGTGCAGCCCAGATCTTCTCCCAGCCTGCTCTTTCCACCAAATTTGAGGGAAGATATCAGCTAAAAAACTTCCATGGCCAAAAAAATAAAAGTGACCAAGAGGTCATATATCACCATCATCAAGGTTAACAGAAATAAACCAAAATGCACCCTCCTACCTTGTAAAACCACAAAATGCACAGGGCAGCCCAACCAACGGACCTCAAGGAAGACAGAACCATGCCAAAGGAAGGTTCAGATGAGGATAACTGAAGTGAATGCAGACACAGACACATTTCTGTATTAGACTTTCACTTTTCTCTAAGTAATGTTCTATCTCAAAAGATATGGTTAATCAAAATTTAAAATGTCTGAGGATATATATTAAATTTGCAAATACCAAAATGAGGGGTGGAGGTCTGGCAGGGAGAGCTCCCCTTAGAGTCTGAAATACAAACATTCTTCCATAAAGCATGTAGTAAACTTACAAAAAATATGAATATGGTTTAGTTTAGACATTTGTTAATTGCCTTTGGACCACACACCGCTGCTTTTGCAAATAAAATTAAAACACAGGCACGTCTTTTTGGAGCTTAGAGTCTACTGGGTAGAGCATGTTGTTATAACACAAAAACTGCCATCGTAGAGGCAGGCACGGGGTGGGTGGCATGTGTGTGTACACTGCACATGTGCCACAGAGGGCTGTGGCAGTGACTGCCAGCAAGGTCTTTTTGAATCTGAGTCTTGAAAAAGGAGAAATCAGTCAGACAATGAACACAAGAGAGAAAGGGAATTCCAGGCAGAGGTACAGAAGGAGCAAAGGCAGAAAAGCACTGGGCAGTACCAGTGGAGTTTACAGAAGTTCAGTTTTGCAAGAAAAGAATGTTTCAGACAGGGGACAAGGCAGGGAGATGGGAAGGGAGTAAAGAAAGCTTCAACTCTGTTGGGTCATTACAAATGGCCAGCAGCCTGGTGAGCCCATGGAGCACCATGGAAAGTTCCCTGGCTGAGTGCTGACAGGAACCGAGTTCTGGGCCAGGACTCTGTCCTAAGGCAGCTAAATGACCTTGGGAACACAATGTATGACTCTGGGCACCACATGTAAAACAAGGTTTTCCATATTCCAAGGGCGGGGGGCTCCTGGGATGGCCTGTGCCTCCATATTTACAGACGCCCCACTGCTGTTTGAGATGTAAAATCGACCTTGCCTTATCTCCATCCAAGGCGGGGAGCTGCAAGGAAGTGGGCGATAGTCAGGTCTATAGAAATGGTTTGTAAACAGTAGCAGCTGCTATCAGCACTAGAACTTTGTATTAACCACCCTACAGAAGTTCAAAAGCATCTTCCAGGCACAACACTGTATGGAGCTAGCGGAGAGCTCATCTATCAGTCTGAGATACCCAACTTGTGATATGACAAGGCCACTCCTTCAGAGTCAGGGGTTTAACACCAGATCCAGAGGGAGCCACTGAATTTTATCAGGAAGGACCCAAGCAGACTTGAATTTGGGGGAGCTGGAGATAAGTCACACCAGCAATAATGTGGAAGAGAGTTAGAAGGATGCAACACGAAGTACACGACACTGTGCAGTAAGCCACTAGGCATTCCCAGGGTGTCAATGGTCATCTTAGCCTAGGGTCTTTAGCTCTGAAGCTCATGGGAGCCAGAACGTTACTGTAAGTGAGGGCCACAGGTCTGGGGGAACCAGAAAGCAACCGACCTCAAGCTTAGATAGGCACTGGAAACCCAGTGGCAGCTGAGTGTTGCCACCTGCGAATGTAAGACTACTATTCTAGGTTCTCTCTTTTTTTTTTTTTTTTGAGACAGAGTTTCACTTTGTCACCCAGGGTGGATTACGGTGGCATGATCTCGGCTCACTGCAACCTCCACCTCCCAGATCCAAGTGATTCTCCTGCCTCATTCTCCCAAATAGCTGGGATTACAGGTGCCTGCAACCACCCCAGCTAATTTTTGTATTTTTAGTAGAGATGTGGTTTTACCATGTGGCCAGATTGGTCTTGTACTCCTGACCTCAAGTGATCTGCCTGCCTCAGCCTCCCACAGTGCTGGGATTATAGGTGTGAGCCACTGTGCCCAGCCTATTCCAGGTCTTCCAGCTTTTAAAATGAGCTATATATCCAAGTGGCATCTCCAGATGTCTAAATATTAACTCAAGTTTTATATACTTTGTTCAGGCCAATAACATCTCTGCCTACTGGTAGAAGTGGTACACTGGCTACCACGTTGCCACTTTGGGACTCTAAATCAAGGCAAGGCCAGTGTGACTAGAGCGGACCTTTATGGAATTTCACAGCGTGGAGAAGCAACAGGATCTGGTGACTGCCTGGATGTGGGCAGCATGGGAGCCCCACATCACTGTGAGGCTCCTGCCCCTATACCTCCATGAATGGTGGAGCCACTGCCAAAAAGAAACAGGGACAAATCTTGGCTAACAATGAAGCGAATATGGGGTGGGTGGTGAAAACTAAAATCAATTTTGGATTCATTGTGGGGTGTTTTCTGGCCTAAAGGACATGGATAAGTGCACCAGACTGCAGGTAACTGATTGGAAAACCAACTAACCTAACTTACATACCAATCTGGACTCACTTCTTAGTGGTGAGAATGGAAGCTGTGGGAACACCGTTCATTCAAATGCCCTACAAAGAGTAGAAGAGGGATGACAGCAAACCCTAGGTAATGCCAAGAGGTAGCAGAGATGCCAAGAAGAAGGAAAACCAGAAGGTGGCAACCAGGGATTAAAAAAAAAAAAAAAGAAAACATCAGAAAAGAATGGAAGAACCTCATCGAATGCCATGGAGAAGCCTAGTGAGTATCCATAAGATTGCTTGTTCAGGAAATCACGGGCCTTGAACTTTGGGTAGGGGGGCTCTGGCCAGCTGAACAGGAAGGGGAGACCAGTTTAAGAAGCCTGGGGAAACATGGTGGTTATTACAGGTGAGCTGGGGATGCAGGGACAAGGGAGGCTAGGGCATTCTTAAAATACTACTAAAAAGAAAAAGTTCATAGGGAGAGACTAAAGATAAAAGTATAAAAAGGGAGTGAAATTTGCAAGGAGAGAGCAGCATTGGGAGCTGGGATTCAGGACACAGCTGGAGACATTAGTCACTGCCCGAAGGAGGCTGTCTCTCTAAATTTCTCTAAGTTCTCAGTCTAACTTGATTTTTCTTTATAATTCTACCCTATTCATTTATCATACATTTTACAATATATTATGTTTTTGCTGTTAGTTGGTTTTCTCCCACAAGAATGATGGTTTCAAGAGAGCAAGGATTTGCTCTATTTACCATCTATGAGCACCCAGTTAAGTACTGAGACACAGTAGATGCTTAAGAAGATTTATTGGATGACTGAGTAAACACAGAAAAGTCTGTACAGGGAAGATGGGGGAGGATGCCAGGAGACCCTTATGACCTCTATTTTCTTGGTAGAATGGGCCACAAAGTCACCTGTCCAACCCGCAGGAGGAAAGGGACTGGGGATCTCTCGTGTTGAAGATTACAGTGGGAGTCCAGTTTGCAAAACAGAAGGAAGGAGTTTGCAGGACAGAGACACTAAGAGTTCTCAGAAGTGGAGCATCTCAGAGGGCAAGACTTGGAGGTACTTAGAGGACTTAGTAGCTGGAGTACATGGAGGACACTGGATTTGAGACGGTCAAGGAAGTGCTCATCTAGAGCATCCGGGGCATGATCACTTTAGGACCAGAGAAGGAGAAACGGCACATGAGCCAAAGTCCCCACGCCGTGGGAAAAGAGCTGGCTGGAAGAGGACAGCAAGGCGGAGATGTAGGCAGGGACGCGGCCAGGTCACCACCTCATTTCCAACTCTACCACCTCAATCTCTGGCTAGTATTTAATCATCCTTGTGTGGAAGTGAAAATTAATTTCTTTTGGAGACAGTACTTTTAAAATTAAACTAATATGAAGTTCATGGGGGGCAGAAATTTTCTGCATAGATTCACTTTTGCTTTTAGAATAACACATGATGATATTTCATGACCTTCGGTAACTGCCCTGCATGGCACAATATTTTCAAACTTTATTTTAACGAAGACTCAACACTTGGGCGTTAAAAGAAACCTTAGATTACTTAGGTTAGTACTTTCATTTGCATAATCAAATTTTTTTCTGTAGAGATACTGCAAATAGCAAGTAACTACTGACTTAGACCTTCGGATAGTGTTGAAAGTGCCTTCGATTTTTGAAGTGTGGTTTAGAATATACAAATTAGCAATGTTGACATTTCTTCTAGTTATCTGTGCTCAAGTTTTGATATAAAATCTTCAAAGTACACAATTATCACTCAAATTGTTCCAGAACAGTTCAGACAAGTAAATGGCTTCTTGGCTTGAAAGAGGAAGTCACACATTCGAACACCTTTTTATGTTGATGCTAAATATAAGAACGTCCCCTGCAAAGTAGTGAAAGCAAGACAGCAGCATTCGAGATTTCTCCAGACAGACACACACACAC